AGTAACGCAGTAACGCAGCGTTCCTACGGGAAAGTAACGGTAATCTAATTACCGTTTTTGCAATAGTAATCCCTTACTTTACTCGTTACTTTAAAAAAGTAATCAGATTACAGTAACGCTCTGTCTAGTATAACAAGTGTCAAAGAGCAGCTGTTACCTTTAAATCTAACCTAAAATTCAAACATGCAGTTTGTTGCTGTGCAGACCAGAAGAAAACTGAAATGAAAAATCAAGTTAAAACTTTAAGGTGCAGCAGAGTGTGTGATTGACAGTGAACAGTCAAAACAGTTAAGAGGTTATTATTGAAGTGCATGTATTTGTTATTAAGTGCACAGTGATGTGATATGAGAGACCAGATACATGTTGTTATTAAGTGAACGTGCAATGGTGTCTAGAGATATGTAGGCAGTCCAGTCCTTTAGCCAGGAGAGAAGCTCCTCCTCTTTCTCTGTGTCGGCCTTATGTGAGCAGAATAGTCCGTTGTTGGGATGGGGGAGGTCTTTCATGATTTTCAAGCTTTGGTGCTGCACCCCTGGTGTAAGTAGACTCCAGGTCAGGCTCGTCTGTCCTGCTTCGTGCTGTTCCCATACCAGGCGCAGATATTTCCCGACAGGATGCTTGGATGGTGCAGGAGTAGAAGTTCTTGACACCTTCTCAGGTAGGTGGAAGTCTCTGAGTCGTCTGAGGAACAAGAGACGCTGCTCTCTTCACCAGAGTGTTAATGTGACCATGACAGGTCCTGTGTGATGTGAACACTCGGGTATCTGCAGTTGTCTACTCTCTCCACTGATGATAGTAATTTCTCACCTGCTTTGTGCTGAAGTCCACAATCAGCTCCTTCGTTTTTCTGATGTTTAGGAGAAGGTTGTTCTGCAGGTTCCTGATCTCCTCCAGGAAGGCCTTCTCGACGTTATGAGAGATCAGGCCCACCACGACAGTGTCATCAGCGAACTTAAAAATGGAGGTGTTGTGTGACGTGGCTACACAGTCGTAGGTGTGCAGTGAGTCCAGCAGGAGAACGCAGCCCTGTGGAGCTCCGGTGCTGAGTGAGGTGGAGGGGACACTCCCCACCCTCACTGATAAAAGCTGTGTCATGTAAAGAGGAGAAAGAACATATATATGTTTTTAAAAATGCAGGGAGTAAAAATTCAATGATGTCAGAAAAAAATACTCAACTAAACTACAGATGCTGGAAAATTCTACTCGAGTAAAAAAGTATTTGTACTTCATTACTTCCCTCCTCTGTAGATGTAGGAGTCCAGTTGTAAA